TCTATGTATATTTTTATATGTGTATGTTTTGTGTCTGTGTCTGTGCGTCTTTGTCGAAGTACATATATATATATATACGTGTGTGTGTCTGTGTGTGTCTGTGTACGTGTGTGTGTATATGGGTAGGTGGGTGGTTGTTTGCTTGTAATATATGTATATATATATATATATATGTATATATGTTGTGTTTGGGTTTTGTGGGTGTATGTGTATGCATGTATATATAGATATATATGTATATATATATACGTGCATGTTTGTGTGTGTGTGTGTGTGTGTGTGTTTCAATGTGTGTGTGTGTGTGTGTGTGTTTATATGTATATATATATATGTATACGTATATATATGTATAGAAATATGTATATATATATAGTTACTGTAGCGCAATGTTCATCCATGACGATCCGGAAGTAGTAATATATATAGTGCGAGAAGGCTTTTTGGACGACATAAATTCGCAACCGGTTGAAATATACGACTGCCGTTTTGTGTGCGGCTCTGATGTTAGCTGAACACCTAGAAGTATATCCTGGTCATCAAGAGTGAAAATATTCGTTATTCGTTTGTTGAAGGTAACCTGAGTATCGATGAGAACACTTGATGGTCACAAGTTTACTCTGATATCAAATCAAATCTTAATTTCAAACCTCTATATGCGAGGTTTTTCGGAATCGTGCACTGTTGCGTTTTCCTGCATATCAGTCCTTGACCATAACAATATATTTATGATGACGCAAGCTGTAGGAGTGAAGTGAATTCGAGATTGAGGTTGTTGAGGAAAATAACAGATAAATTCTAACGTCTCAATACGTCTCATTTAGTTCTGATTTGTCGCGTATATCCAGCCCACCGTAAAGGGAGAAATCGCTATTGTTTCCCCAACATCCGAGACTTATGTAAATACCACAGCAGTTTTAAAGCTAAGAATATATATCGTTAAAGCGTTTGTGTGATGTATTCGCTTCAGACCCTATGTTGGGAGTGTTGTCTGTAACTGTTCACCTCAATTTGAATATATATGATCTGAATAGGGCTTCATCTTCGTGTATGAGAGTGGTGAATAGACCATATTTCGTTAATATTTTAGAATAAAAACTCTCCGTAAAGTATATATTCGGGAAAAAAGTTTCCCAGCGAGGGGCTCGAACCCTCGACCTTGAGATTAAGAGTCTCACGCTCTACCGACTGAGCTAGCCGGGTATGAGTTATTTTAGATCTTTTGTAATCTATCGATTTGTAACGGGATCAAATCACATTTCTCAACTTAGCTAGTTTGACTACGAAATACGTTTTGCCAACAACAATCAACTAGATAGTCGGAATAAGTGCATACTGCAATAATCCCATTTGCGTTTTAAAGCTTATTTGATTCGTATATCGATGCCTGCAGTCTCCTCAAGTACCTATATCGGTTAAGTGGTCGATAGTCAAGTTTCATTTTTTTTTAATCTAGCTAAGTATACCCAAGGAGTAACACGCGTTGTCTTTTCAAACTACCTTCAGATTTGAAAAAAATGCAAAGCTTAAACTTAGTTTGATGTAATTAAGTGACTTTACATGATACTCACGGTATAGTCAGTATTGGTAATGCAAGCTGGCAATAAACACCTATCATCCACTACCATATTTACAATTTAGCTATTGTAAGCAGTACTACTTCGTGCGTACGATAAAGTAGTATTTGCAAAATGTTGAGATAATAATGAACAAAGTTTACAGTCTGTCCTATATCAGCGGGCATTTCGACGGGAATCAATCAGTGTCCTTGCAGTTTTCATGGACGTCACTAACGAACAATATCAATGGCTTGATGTCGCAGGTGTTCTAGTCAACACATTCACGAGGAAAAAGGCTACCTTTTTAATTTAATGTACTCGTTATGCGTACGTGTCATACTGTGTGCGGCCCAATATTATTTTATATTTTTT